GCATGGGTGAAGGAAAATCCTGAATGTTGGTCAGTTGGTGAAATTTGTAGTGAACCTAAAGACATAGACATAAATAAAATGATGATTGTTGATTTGGCAAAAGAGGCATCCCTTTGGCATCTAAGCATATCAAATTATGATAAATTAATTTGAGTATTTGCTTGGGTTTTAAGATTTGTAAATAATTGTCGGCCAACTTAGATCAAGTGCAAGAACCCTGAACTTTCTTTTTCTGAAATTGAAAATTCTGAGAAGTGTTTGATTCATTTAGTTCAAAGTTATTGTTTACCTAATGTAAAATCTTTGAATTTTGTGACGTTTAAAGATGATATCTTAAGAATAAGAAGAAAGATAAGTCAGCGAGGACGATGGAGAATCCTTCCTGTATCCAATATTGTTACCAGACCAATGTGAATTAACTAGGTTATTAATCAGATTTATACATCTGGAAAATTGCAATGATGGAATTCAAATAATGCGAGTCTTATTATGACAAAGATGTTGGATAATTAAAACTAGGAAAATAATTGAACTGAATAGAAGTTGTGTCAGCTTCTAAAATACACTCACTTCCAAAAGTTAAGCCCGGAGAGGAAAATTCTAATTTCCGGAAGCCAATCAGAATTGAAGAGGATGCAATTCGCTGCAGATGGAAGTACAGTAAGACCCCGCTTAACGCTGTTTCGTTTAGCGCTGTTTCGGTTTAGCGCTCTTTTATTTCAACCCGGGGATTCCATAAAATCGCTTGCAGCATACGGGGATTCCCCGAAATATTATGCAGCGATAGGTTTCAAATACATATCCGAAAGAGTGTACTTGTATTTCTTGTTTGGTGCGATATTGTACAAACATATTTTTGAAGGGATAAATGTGGAAGATGTTGAAGAAATAATTCAAGAAGCAGCGGCTAGTCTTTTTAATGATGAGCTCAAGGAATTAACTGAACAAGAAGAAAATAAAAATGTTGACAGCAGTGATTCAGAAGAAGAGCAAAAAGAACTTTCGATGGCGTTTGTAAAAAGGAGTTTGTCTACCATAACTGAAATAATGGATCAATTCATTGAAAATGATCCGAATTTTGACAGGAGCTCAAAAGTAAGGCGTGGTGTTAGAGATGCTCTATCGTTTATGAAGACTTTTAAGAGAACAACGCAAAAGAAAAAGGCAAACAACATTAGATGCTTTTGTCACAAAAGGCAGAACACTGAAAACGCGGAAGGATAACTAAATATGACTGACTGAGGATTTATTTGTTTTTTTTAAGAATATTCGTTTGTTATTTATATTTTGTTTTTATTTTTTGCAAGAATAATAATGTGGTGGTATTAATTTGGGCTTTAAGAAATAAATGTTTGGTTTTATTTTTATTAAAAAAACATACTTTTTAAATTTAATACCTAACCAATTTCCTAGCCGTCTTCCCCTAACCCCAATATTTATATGTAAAGATAACCTCATTTAGCGCTGTTTCGCATTACGCTCTACTTTGATGGAACGTATCCCCCGTGTTAAGCGGGGTCTTACTGTATGCAAATATGTTAGGTAACAGCCAATCTCGCTTTCATGTCAAGAAATATGCAAAAAAAAAAAAACAGTCTTATAAGAAGCCATCTTTATGAAGGATTACAGAAGTTGATTGTAAGTGCTGATAGAAGGTGTTTAAAACTTTCGTACAATTTGTTTTCAAGACATATGTACGAGGGTTGGAACTTTAATAGTCGCAACACAGCTGAAAAAACGCTACACAACAAAACCAAAGAATATCGCGTTACCACACGTAAACTACATACCTACCTTACCTCTCAGCAAAAAGACTCGTCCTGCCTACGTCCCGTGCATGCGGAGTGACGCGAAGAACGGATCCTTGTATTAGCTCGCAGTCTAAAGTAAGTGTTGTCAGGATGTTTTCAAAACAAGAACAACGATGTTGGCTAAAATTGAATGTGCCAGAGGTCGTACAGCACGACAGTGTCATCAAGGGCTTCAAGAGGCTTGCGGGGAATCTGCATTGCCTTACAGAACCGTAGCAAGATGGGTGAAAGCATTCAATGAAGGACGCCAAAACGTGGCAGACATGCTGCAGCCAGGTCATCCGAGTGTCAGCGATGCAGATGTACAGGCTGTTTCTGCACTAATGGACAGTGATCGCCGCCAAACAATTCGTCAGCTGACCGGACAAACAGGATTATCGCATACGACTGTGCTGCACATTCTGAAGGAACGCCTGTCCATGAGAAAAATTTCTTCATGATGGGTTTTACATCAATTGATGGAAATGCAGAAATGGCTACGATACGATGCTGCCTGAACCCACCTGGAGCGCTATGAGCACATAGGAGATGCTTTTTTACGCCGTATCATTACACTGGATGAGACTTGGGCCCGATCGTACCAGCCAGAACTGAAACGCCAATCAAACGAATGGCGTCATTACGGGTCACCACAACGTTCGAAATTTCGTCAGAACCCCAGCAATATGAAAGTTATACTGATTCTCGTGTACGACTGTGATGGTGTCATCCTAACGCATACCGTCCCCACAGATCGTCACTGCGCAGTATTACTGCTCATTTTTGGAGCACAATCTCTGACCAGCTTTGAGAAAAAAATGGCGACACTTTCTGCAGAACGCTCCTCTTATTTTGCATGACAATGCTCGACCGCATGCAGCGCAAGCTGTGACTGATTTTTCAAATGATGGGGCTGGGAAGTGCTTTACCATCCACCATACTCCCCAGATCTAAGCCCTTGTGACTATGACTTAATTCCTAAGATGAAGGCACTCGCTTCTAAACTGTTCCTGAGATTCTTACGGCAGTAGACCGGTCCATTCAAACTATCAACAAAACAGGCGCTGCTACAGGTATTCTGCGACTTCCACATCATTGGAAACGGGTTGTACACAGTGCTGGCGAATATATTGAAGGGCAGTAAAACATGGTGACATGAATCACTTTTGTATTCCTTGTAAATAAATAGTTGCCACTATTAAAGTTCCAACCCTCGTATTTCTATGATTTCCAGAAGATGAATGGAAGATTCTGAGCGCTGGCATACTGTGGGAGCACATTGAAGCAGGGCAGTTGATCACAGATGTTGCTCTTTTCTTCGGTGTTTATCATTCTGTAATTTCACGTTTATGGAAACAATTCCAAACCACACAGACAGTTGCCCAAAGACCCGTAGCCGGTCGCCCAAGGGTTACAACCCCCGCTGAAAATTGATATATTGCTATTGTAGCCAAGCAGAATCGCAGAGCGACCTCCACACGCATGACATCTATGGTTACAGCGTCCATTGATAAGGCGATATCTGTAGCTACTATACGCCGAAGATTACATATGAGTGGACTGTACACCCGAGTACCTCGAGTTTGCGTTCCTCTATCCCTCCAATCAAGAGGGGCACAATATAGTGATGCCAGGAACGTGTCAATTGAAATGTGTCTGTCTGGGGCAGTGTAATCTTTACTGATGTGTCAAGATTTGCTCTGGAACCAGATGACAAGCGTATAAGGATATAGTGGGGACAGCGAACACGCAATCAGTCCCAAAACATCACGCATTCCGAGGCGGAAGCATTATGGTGTGGGCAGGGATTTCATTAGGATACCGCACCAACCTGCACATCTTTAAATGGGATTCTTTGATCGCTGTCCGGTATCGAGATGAAGTCCTAGAACCCAATGTGTGATCGTACGCTGCAGCAGTTGGCCCTGCTTTTGTTTTAATGGACGATAACGCACATCCCCATAGAGCTGACATCATCGGTGACTACTTGAAGAGTGAAAGGAATTGCGCGTATGGTGTGGCCAGCATATTCGCCTGACCTTAATCCCATTGAAAATCTTTGGTATGCTCTCGGCCGTGCTGTATCCTCACTTTTCCCACCTCCAGCCATTGTTATTGAGCTGGAAACTGCTCTACAAGAAGAATAGCGATTGCTTAATTTTGCGGTGGTAGACCATCTAATTGAAAGCATGGTCACAAGGTGTAAACTTTGTATACAGATGAGGGGAAAATCACATACCCTATTAATGTCCCTTTTTTTTTTTTCTCCCTTTCCATTTTATGCTGTTTATTTTCACTTTATACATAATTCTGTTTTAAGTCTCCAGTATGTCATTATCTGATAACTTACAAAAATTTAATATTGTTTTCATTTCTGTATATAATTATTGATTTTGTTTTATGCATAAATATATATGCTACTTTCCTGCCAAATTTTGTGTCAATCAAAGCAGTATTTGTTGATTTTTTTTGCATTACATCTTCATGTTTAACTTTTGGAAGTGAGTGTATATAGGAATCAAAAAGTTAGTCTTCGGTTAAGTAGGAGAAAAACATAAGGAACGTTTTGGATGTGTTGTCTTTGTGTGTTCAAGAAGTGTTTTAATGTTTTGCAGAGTGACTCCTGTCTTTTTGGAGTTTACAACACCCTGCATCGAGTAGATGCGAACCCAAGAAATTATTCTAGTGTTTCTTTTTCTCACTCAGTATTCAGTGGTCTTAATCACTTGGAAACTGGCAGAGTTTTTAATAGATCCAGAAAAATTTGAGAAATTTTTAATTTAGGAATTATTAAGGTAACTCAAAATTATTTAGAAAATAATAAACATAATTTTTAAGAATAATTATGATGAAACATAACAGAAATTCAGCAGTGCAAGATTTTTATTCAACCTAAAAAGGTTGAATTTTGATTTCTCCTTTAGTGTGAAATTGTAGGATAATACAAGAAAGTGTAACTAGTGCATAAGTGAAAATATAAATCTGCTTGATAGGTAGGTAAAAAGATAATAGTCATTTTGGTGTAATAAAGGGGGAATGGGTTTACATAAAAGTAAGGAATTTGCTGCTATATTATGTAGAAAACTCTAGAAGCACTGAAGTTTATTAAGCTATGTTCTTGTGTTATTATATAGCCTGAATTGTATGTTTTAAGTGTCCTCAAACACTCTGTTAAAATTTTACTCTTAAAAACAATCTGGTAATTTGCAGAATGTGTAGAATCTCACAAGCCTATCCATGACTTGGGATTCCAGGGTGGTTTTCAGAAACGCAACAGAGAGCTTTTATCATGGGCTAAAAAGAAAAAGCGGCATATTCGTCGAGAAGAATTAATAGCTTATATCACAGGAAGAAATCCTCCTGCAACACGTCTTTGTTGCCCAAGACCTCGTCTGGTTCTTGATGGAATGCGGAATTCTTCTCATCTCGCTCATGCTCACCGTCACTCTCCTTCCAGAGATGTTGAACTTCTAGATCCACGTGCTGAAGATTTTGATATGTTTCGACAAGCCTTGACAATTTCAAGTAAGTTGCTCTCACCTAAAATAAGTTTTTGAAAAAATTATTTGTAAAAGGTTTACTGTGAAGTTCAGTGGCTCATCAGTATTTAGAAAATTCTGCTAAATTGATACATGTTTACTCATTTCTTTTAAAATTTTGATGAAATTATGCTAGTTTTATGGTATTTACATGTAAATCCAAATTTTTTTTTTTTTTTTTAATTAGTCCGTAAAATTTGATCAGTTTTTGCAAGAAAAAGGAACTGCCAAACTGATTTCAATTTTAATAAGAAATGGTTAATTAGTAATACACATAAGCAATTTATTTAATGTCTGTGGTACACAACGTGTTTTATATATTAGATGAGTGTCATTCAGATATAGCTCAAATTCCTTTTTTTTTTTTTTTTTTCCCATTTCTCAGAACTGAAATTTCCAGATTTAGGACATGTAGATCTATTAACTTTCTCAAACTTTCTTTTGGAACAAATGTATCATCTAGAGTTTATGTAATGTAAACTTTTAGTTTTAGTACAGTCCCCTGTGTTTGTGTTATGCATAAATTTGGGGGGGGAGGCTGTTATAGTTTTATGTTGAAGTCTTTAGGCTGGAAGAATATGGAAACCAGAAATATACAGCATTAACAAAACTGATTAAGAAAATGGCCCGCAATGAACTGGAAGTTGACCTGTCAGCACTCTCCTCATCTTCAGGGCAGATGTTTTTATTTTATTCGGCTTATAATTTCTTACTAAATGTAGTATTTCATCTCGATGTACCCCGTCTTTGATGTGATTTAAATCAAATTCCTCGTCATTATAAATATCACGAATACACATCGAATAGTTTTCTGGTTGCAATATTCTAATTTCGATGATGCGTAATGTATGCTTTACGCATGTGCGCGTTAAAAGAAATGTTTAATAAAGTAAACAAATAAATATTAACCTTTTTTTTTTTTTTGTAAATTTTGATATCCTTTACATCATAATTGCTCTTTTTTTCGTAAATTATGGTTTCATGTTTCTAATTTTATAATTACTGCATGCCAGATTTAAATTGATGATCTATAATCCGGAAAAACCCCTAATCCAGAGTCACCGAGTCCTGAGAGTCCAGATTAAAGACTTTGTACTGTATTAGTGGGAAAATAAGTGCAAGTTTTACTTTCTAAGAACTGTTTACTTTCACAAAATAAAGAAAAAAAGAAAAAAATGAATGCACAAAATTTAATGTTTTGAGTAAAAGTATAATAAAAATGATGTTTTTATAATAAAAAAGATACCTAAAATGGAGTTTCGATCAGTTCATTTTTAGACCAGTGAAGTGTAATATCAGGTTTCAGTGTTATACCTTGTGAAATCAGTAATCCTAAAAAAACACATATTTCTTCTGAATTGGTTGAATGCCACGCTTTTGTTCCTGATTTTTCGTTTGCAAGGTGTTGGTGCGTATACTCGTCTACAGAATGGTTAGTTTCAGTAACAGTATGAAGCCCGAGCATTTCATCAAAAAATAATTCAAAAATGTTAATGGGTTTGAAACATCCGTTATATCTTTCTTTATTCCTGGAACCTACTACAAAAAGCAAAAACGGAGGACACAGAATAAAAAAAAATACGTTTTACTTAAACAACACCAGCCAGTACTGCACAGTCATTACTTTCACGGCACACATCTCCCTCTCCAATTCCACTCTCTTTGAAATAGTATCCTCCTTCGCAGACTTTGTCAGGGTCATTGTGGTGTTGCATTCCAAAGTTTTGCGAATAATTTTACGGGTAGCAGCACAAAGCAAATGATAGTATTTTGGAAGGGTGTATATATACGCCCGTGGCAGTTAAGGGGTTAATTATATGGATGGTATAAGAGAATGTACAAAAAGCTTGGACACTAATAACGTAGGTACTGTGGTGACTGTGAAGTATTTTTTTATTATCATTATACAAAACTGTTTCTGAAGCTTTCGGGTCAGAAAACCCCTCAAAAGATTATTGATAAAAGATTTTAAGGATAATATATTAAATAACTATATAGCTTTCCAAAATTCATTACATTGTATGAACCATTATCCTTCTCTAGGCAGTTTTCTATCTCTAACACCCATTAATGTGCATACTTCAAATTCTAATCTAAGGGAGTTAAGTGAAAAACTCATATCTAAATCATAGTGTCTTACTGATAATACTGAATATTCATTTGTTAGTAAAGAAAAATGTAAACACAGAAGTTTTCAGAAATTAATCCCGTCCATCCTCAAAAATGCAATCAAAGCAATTATTGTTTAAAATACTGAGAAATCAAAAAGCTTGACATCTGTGTGAAATGATATAGCAAAACAATGATATAGCAATTAAAAATGAATTTTTAATAAATTTTAAAAATATTATTTGTTTTGCTAATGAAACTGCTTGAAAATACATGTGTATGTATGTATGTATGTGTTTCACAATAATATTCTGAATTAATTAAAACTACGTCAGATTTTTACGGTATTGTAGTTTTCAGTATTTTTGAAATGGAGTCCAACATCAGTGATGCACATACAAAAATAGTTTGATATAAATTTGTATTTATTATTTTATTGAATGCAGTTTTGAAAATGATTTATTTAAAATAAATCGTATAAAGGATTTGACCTGAAATCATTTTGAACAGACACTTTCTGGTGACTACAACTCAGTTGCTGCTAATAATCAAACTCATTATCATGGTGGATGCTATGCCTCAATTTAAATTGCTGCTGGGTAGAATTCAAGGTGTTTGTGAGCTATATTCATTGGCTTTTTGTTTGATAATTTTGCAACTGCTAACATTACATATGTGGAAGGCTCATTTTCTAAGACCATTTGCATAAATTCTTTTGGAAGGTAAACTATATTACTCTTGGGGGAGGAACTGTAGCTTCTTTCCCATTGGTGGAAAATTGAAAATAGTAAGCATATTAAATATTTAGCAATAAAAAACTGAAAATTTTCACTAACTAAAGAGATATAAACTGTATACACATATTGAAATGTAAACTATGTTCGTATGTCCAGATTGATAACCATATGTTTTTCATCAAGGTGGAAATGTACCCTATTTCTCACCTTATCAAAATTTTGCTGTGAAATAATTTGGAAATGTGGTTTTAACAAATAAAAGTCAAAATAAAAAGATTTGAGAATGTAGTATTTTCCAAATACTCTGCAGTAAAAGAAAGGGTACTTCTTTATTATCACAGCTTTTGTTTTGTAACTGCCAAGTTGGCAGCTGGATAATTCCCAGATTCATGTTTTCTTTTCACATATATACTTGAGGCTGAAATGTTTCTGCAATTGCTTCTAAAATAGCATTGGAAGCAAATTTTTTTTTTATTATTATCCCTAGAATATTCAGTACATAAGCTGTGCAAAGTAAGCTTGGTCATGATGCTGAACCGTGCGTCGTTGATTTTCATTCCGCTATTTAGCAGAGTGCCACAGTCTTTCACTATTTTGTATATGAGTAGATGTTGTTGAATTAACAAAGTGAAATTTAAGGTTTACAATAATCTCAACTTAACTAGTGTTGGTTTTACAGAAAAAAAAATGTGACAGGGTAACCTTTAAGAAAATTCTATGATCACTTGGAAACTAAACTCTGTATTCTTGAAGTTCTTAGGGTAACACGAAAAAAATATGCTACAATGTTTTTTCCACTCGTGGAATCAGCATTATGAATTGAAACTTTAAAGTTTTGGAAGGGTTTTGGGACATAGAGATAGTTAATAATGAAAATGTGCAGACCATTGCTGTGAAGAGTAACTTAGAGTCATTACTAAAATTTCTCCAAAATGAGGTTGATGGAGAGGGAAGAGTATATTTTACTTCACAGAGTTTTGAGCAAAATAAACTGAATCAAGTAAGACGCAATAACAGAAATAATTTCAAAAGCAAGATTCCTAATATTAAATCAAAATTTACTAAGAAATCCATTCAAGTATCAACAAACGCAGAGCTCTTTACCTCATTACAGGGACATATTTTATGTATGTTTTGCACCAAGTCTCATAATTCTTTGAATTGTTTTAAAGCTAGAAAAATGTCTGTAGAGGAGAAAGAAAATTTTACTGAAAAAGGCTATTGCTTTCTATGCTTAAATATGTCATCAAGTATGAAAATGTAATGTAAAAGCTGGTTGTTTGAGTTGTGGAAAAAAACACTATTTTATTGTGCATACCTCTTCACCCACTAAGGAGGAGGTTGGGAAGTTAGAAAATTCTTTCGAGAAAGGTCATGCTCTGGCAAATGTGCCTAAATCTTCTAGTGTAATGTTGCAAACTTGACTGTAATTGTGAATAATAATGGGATAAGACATAAGCCAAGAGCAATAAGTGATACTGCTTCTCAGTACTGCCAAAAATGTGGGATATCAGGCTGGAAGCTAAGAATATCTCTAACACTCTTCTTTTAGAGAAAGCAACACAGGGGTGTGTAAACATGATGTGTTTATATCATATTTTTTTAGTATTGATGGACCTTATAAATACGACTTCAAAGTATGAAGCCAAGAAATGATCTGCAAGACCATTCAGCATGTAGTTCCTGAGCTTTGTGCAAGTGAACTATCAGATTGTAATATATACATTTCTGATCATTATCAGAGCCCTATCGTAATTTTAATTGGAGGTAACGTAGCTGGAAAGTTAATGACTGATGGTCTCAAAATGTTATCCTGTTTTGACTGCCAATCACATGCATCTCGGATGGACTATGATGGGGCATAAACCAAATTCTTCAAAAGATAAAAATGCATATTTAGTTGTCACTCCTATGATATCAGTTAATGAGTCAGTAACAAATTTGTGGGCACTGCACTCACTTGGAATTATTGATACATATGGACAAAAGACCAAAGCTGAAAGAGAACACTGAATAGAGACAGTGAACATGGACGACATTTGTTATGTTGTGCACTTACCTTGGATTGAAAAATCATCCTTCACTTCCTCATAACTATGATTTAGAGCTAAAAAGATTGAACATTACTGTACACTCTCTTAAATCCCAATCTTTGTATAGAGAATATGAAAATGTTCTTTCTGGTCGGCTCAAAGAGCAGATTATAGAAGAGGTGGAAAATCAACAGACCTTTGTGATAAACCATTTACCACATCATCCAGATGTCTGGTGAAAGACATCAAATCAGGAGCAATATTTCATGCACGAAATTCACAAACATTTATTTGAAGACGTTCACGAATGAGAATCATTTACATCTCCTCAGAAAAATATATAGTATTTCTGATAAAATCATATTATTCAATAATTAAGTCTCTAATATTTTTCTAGTACACTTTCTCTGTGGTGCATCTCAGAAATTACTATAAGCTCTCTTGCTGTCGATAAACATTAGTCACACAACTCTTAACCGAAAACGAAACATCGTTCTAAAATTCTTAAAACTAACAGCAAAAAAAGGAATTTGGTCTGTTGTCCTTTAAATGCAAGTTAAATGTGATTAAAACAGGATTATGTTTATAGTCCCTCTTATGTATTAAATGGCGAAATTTAACGATGCAGTTTCGAACATTTCCCACCTAAGTTAACTAAGGAATCAACTCACACTGTCTCAGAACAACAAGTCTGGTTATAATGAATCACTAAGTAGTATAAATAACAAAATAAGATAAATATTCACTGTAAATTAACACACAAAATGAAATAGTCATAATAAAGGTGAAACACAAAGATATTTTCGATTATAGTATAACATAAATATTACCATGTTATCATGTTACATAAGACAAACAAAATTCAACCCTATTATTATAATAAACTAGTTCTAGCTTAATATAAATGCTAGTACATACATGTACACACAAATTTACAGACATAATCTTTAAGGTGTTTTAATAACATGTAAATCTCCCCCTCCCCAAGTATCTCAGGACTTTTTCCAGTTTTGCAGTCTCCGTATTCAGTGTCTGTTGATTGTTCTCTCTGTATACACTTTACATGTCAATAATGGATTTGCCATAGACACTTCCAAATGGTATATGTGCTGAATGAGTTTAAGACACTGTCCATTTGCAGTCTGAAGTTTTACCGCTCTTGTCACTCCTTCTTTGCTAGAAAGGGTCTCAATAACTTTGTCAAGTGGCTAGTTTAAATATTTGGTGTTGTCACTGCCGATCAAAACAACATCATCAACAGCAACCTTGGAAAACCTTTTACTTTCTGGTCTTTGAAGAAGAGCATTTAAATATTCAGAACAAAATCTTTTCTGCAAGGTACTTTGTAATTTCTGCCTGTACTGTATTGTTTGTTAAAACTCTTATTATCAAGTGCATCACAATCAGGAAGACCAAAAACTTTTAATATCTTGAAGAAACGTTGACAGGCTCAAAGGATTAAGTTCTGCGTCACTTTTTGCAACATATGTTATGGACAAAAATTAATAATTAATTCACAGTCACAGAGCACCATAGTCATTTCCTCAGAGGTCAAAGAAGCTTAAGCTAAAACTTTCCTTAACAAATTTTTCATAAAGCCAGTTCGCCTCTCCCGCCAACCACCCGACCGTGAGGTGGTAGGTGGATTAAATTTCTACTCAGTAGGATGAATAGCACTGTCATTGACTATAAGATTCCAGTTTAAAGTTTGAAGAGAATTCGAGGTCCCTTTAAAGTTAGTTGTTTCTATTTGTATAAAAGCTGCAACAGCATGTAAGTGTTTGCTCGCATCACAAAAGAAATGCACAGAACGATACTTAACCTCTTTTGTCACCAGCGGTCTGAATAAATTGTCAATACATCTTGTTGATGATTTTTGCTATTAGTATGGTTGCCTCTCTATTTGGAATCTAATCGAAAAAGAATTCAGCAGTTTCTCTAGGTAACCAACCAAATATATGGTATTATGAAAGAACCCTGCTGAATAGTCTTTCAATTAAAAATGATCATCGGCTTTAGCTTGTCACCGTTTGCGGCACAAGCTAACACAATGTTCTTTCATGCCCCGTCATAAACACCAACAGTTCTGTTTGCAGGAGAGTCGAAAGCTAACGCCGTTTCATCCATATTTATTATCTGTGACCAATAGAAGTTTTTTTTTTTTTTTTTTTTTTTTTTTTTTTTTTTTTTGTCAATAATAGCTGTCACATATTTTAGAAAAAATGCCTTTTTATCCTGCCGGTCCATTGGTAATTGTTACTCGATTGTTGTACTAATACGCACAGAAATATTTTTTCTTTTCATAAATCTGCTAAACCTCCTTTGAAATCATTTATGTTCATTCGTTTTGCTATAAATTTTGCTTGTAAGCGAATTTTTACAGTCGAAATTGCCATTCCCTTTTCTCGTTGCTCCTTTATCCAGTTTGCAAGGTCATCTATTTGGCCACCTTACTGTACCACTTCTTTTGGCTCGTTTCTATTGTGGCATATTTTTAAGAAGTTCTTTTTCAGTTCTCCAACGTCGAATACATCTGTCGTCCACTTCAAACTCTCGAAGCTGCTGCTTGATTTCCAATTGTTTCAGCACGTGAAATTACATTAAGCTTAAAACCAGCAGTATAGCTTCTGTGCCGTTTAGGGACATTTTCAAAAATTTTCCGCTCCCTTCTTACTTAAGAACCATCCAACAAGTACTTGTACCCAAACTGATGGGATCTGTATCTGGCAGAATGCCAAGAAAAATCCATTCATGCTGAAGGGGAAATACATCAGAGTTCGTTATTGCGAGGCAGGTGGATTCGTGAAAAAAATTGCAAACCGCCTTTGAAAAAAATTGCAGAAAAGGCAGGGGTGGGGAGAGGTTGGGTCCTGGAAGATTCATCGAATGGCAGAGGAGAGAGACTATTCAAACTGATGAGAATGTTGATTTGAAAGGGGGAATAATGTTATTGTGCTGAGATCTCGTTTAGGGTGAATGAATAAGGCATGTAGGTCCGTTCAAGGGAAAGAATGTAAACAAATAACGTTTCGCCAAAAAAGCAACTGAGTGGTCTTTTGTGTGTGGGAAACAGCACCAGTCTATGCACAATGACAAGGCCATCCAGACTATGTACAATGACCATCATAGGAAATATTTTATTTTTAGTGCACCTAAACGCCGCATGGGTTGAAACGTGGCACCCACTGAAAATTTAAGTTTTAAACACGTAAACGCCGCGGCGTTTCTTCCAGAAATTACGGTAAGTCTTTAATCTGGAATGATCTATAATCCGGACCTCAAAGCTACAAACTTTCTGCGCATATGCACTTACGCATGTGCGTTTAATGTATAACGGACGGTATAAGCTAGGCTAGAATTATCTAATTATCTATTTCAGACAATGTTGCAGATTACGTTGTTCCTTAATCTTCTAATTGGATCCAGCTTATTATTTTTTACAGACTGTTAGAGCAATTTTATAAAAAGTAAGCTTGAACTTTCAATTATGTCAAAAGGAGTTTCCGATTCTGGAGCTGCCAAAGGATCTACAAAGTGAAAGTATGTTTCGATGTCCATCAAACAAAAAGTAAAATTGCTGCAAAAAATGGATAAATGCATGAAGAAAGTGACAGAGAGGTTAGTGAAAATAAAAAAGTTTCTATTGACAAGTTAGCGGTATTCTCGGAAGCAATACAGGACTGTTTAGCGGAACTTTTGTAATGGACAAGAAATTATGTCTGTTATATAGATTAAAAGAAAAGTATTAGCACATAAAAAGCAAACTTAAACAAACTTACATTGAAGAAATGTTTAATAAAATAAACAAATAAATATTGAGCTTCTTTTTTGTAAAATTTGATTACCCTTTAGATCATAATTGCTTTTATTCATAAATTATGGTTTCATATTTTTAATTTTATAGTTTCTGCATGCCATCTTACTAGATTAATTGATGATCTATAATCCGGAATCGTCGAAGTCCCGACGAGTGCAGATTAAAGACTTTGTACTATATTACTTTTCCATCTATAAAAAATCACCAAATTGTGCCGAGGTGATGACACTAATGCATAATTACCATTATCTCAGTTTATTAATCAAATCTGCTAATTTTTTAGCTTAGTAAGTTGGCATCTCTACTTTCAGATGTGTATTAAGAAATATAAGGGTTTAATACAAATAAGATGTCTACTTATTAAATAAAATTTTATTTCAGCAAATTTCAAGCACCATGCACAGAATTCCCCCACTGGCCTATCTAGGATCCACCGAGCTCGTCATTGCAATTCAACATCTACCTCTCATAATGAACTCAGTGCATTTATCACTGAAGAATTTTCCAGGCATTCTAGGAAGCGTTCTCCTTCTACGGATGTCATAATGGAATCGCCCACCCATAAGCGTACACGACTAGTATAAATTTCTTGCCATTTATTTTAGTAATGGCTAAACTTGTCAATATATTTTATGTGGACTTTAAAAATAAAATTATATGCGCCTTGTGAAATGAAGTGACCAGTGAAATATTTTCCCATTGCAGTTCTACGTACTTTGACATTAAATATACTTGAATCGATGCAACTTCTTTAGCTAGATTTCCCTGCTTAATTTTTGTTATTACAATATAATTGTAATTTATTTTGGCGTAAGTTTGTTTTCCTAAAATATTATGTAACTCAGTTGTTTAGTTTTTCCTTGTTGTTCTTGCTTTTTGAAGCTTTTTTTCCATCCAAAAAGAAAAGAAGGGGAAAAAAGTGTACATAATTTCTTCTGTTTAATCTGTGAAGGGAAATGAATGCACTAGGTTTTGTCTTTGTTAAACATTCTAATGATAGTAAATGTGCCTCTAGTGTATTTTTAATAGCAGTGCAGAGTTAAGAATGTGTGATTTTCTATTTATTTTACTGTGACTTATTAGTATTTATTATCTAGAAAGTTTATTCTATGTAAATTTGCCTTTTTATAAGAAACATTTGAATGAACAATCTTCTGAGAAATGTTTTTATGCTATTCTTATAAATTCAGAGCAAAGAAAGTAAATCCTATTTTGACAAGAAATTGTGTTGTTTTTGTACAGTTTTTGCTTATTGTTGAGTGCCATTTTAATTCTTGCGGCATCACCCTGTTTTTTATATATTTGAGAACTAGAAATTTTGTGACAGATCAAAGAAAAAGATGAGCAGTGTTTAAAGTATTGCCTTTGTTAATTTTATGATTTTGTACCCAAGAAAGTGTTATAATATAAAATATCCCAATATATGTTTTTTACTGTACTTGAAATTTTTTGCACCAGTTTTTTGTCCACTTTGAACTCAGTGCTTATAATGTACAGCATAAAAATAATGATCTGTAGCCAATAATTTTTTTTAATTCCCTTAGTAACATATGTAAATTGGATTTTTTTTAAAATTTAATGTAAGCTACTCACAGTTGATATCTTTTCAAAATTTGCTGAAAATTCTAGTCTGTTTATGTCCAGAATAGATTTTTTAGCAATGGGTATCAGTCTAGTCATTGTTTTATTTAATGTTCAAATATACAAATCATTATTCAATTCAGGTGTCAATTTTCTACAAAATAGTAAATTCTCTAGTCAGGCATTGGCAGAATGTTTCTAGGTAAGTTTTATTTCAGAGACATAAAATGATTATTCATTATCCGACCTTATCCTATAAGTTATTTAAATACGTGTTGTTTTTGAGTAAAGAATTATTTAAATTTTGGACAATTCTTCATCTTTGTAAAAAGAGCATGAGTTCTGAGATCTTTCTATTAGATATTCTTAATTTATCTTTACTTAAACTTCACTAGCTGTTTATTTTCAGTATTTAATAATCTAAATATGTGTAATTAGTAAACACATTTGGCATTCAGATTGATTTTGAAAGTATTCTGAAATTCTTTCATTAAGAAGTAAGGAAAGTTTAAGTGTTCAATTTATATAAGGACCTGTTTATGTTATTTTGCGTTTTTAATATTATTCTAAATGTATATGAAAAATGAAAATTTTAATTTTATTATTTTGTAAGAGAAAAATTTGCACAAAAATAAAGTAGTCATGTTTAATGAACTTCATGCTTACAAATTTATGAACTATGTAGGTCTCGACATGTTTATTGTTATTTTAATACCATTTCCAATAAAGAAAAATAAATTTATGAGCAATTTTTCAGTCCATCTTGGCTTTAACTGTAATTTTTCACTTTTCTAACAGCTGCTTTTAAAAATTGTTTTTCACACTTGTCAACGATTTCTAATTTAAATCTGAAAAATCAAAACATAGTGCTATAATAAAAATCTACAAGCTGCAACCGAATTTTTTATCTAATGAAAGGTTTATTACTTCTGCATTTGAAGTTTTAATTGTAGAAATAGTTACTTCAATTATGTTTTAATTGATGAGAATCTTATTGTGCTTACAACTATTGGTATTTAATATTACTTAAAAAATTCTGTATTTGCAAAGATACTTATAATCAAGATTTTAAAATTGTTAAACTATCGCGTCAGTTGATGAAGTTGTTGTCTGATGAATAGTTGATGAAGCATTTTTAGTAATACTATTTTGAACTTTATTATACTTTTGTATAGCCCATCTCCAGTAATATTATTAATACATTAATTCTAAAACCTGAATTTCTTTTTTTTTTTTTTTTTAAATACATCAGTTTCTGTGGAAATTGGTTTCGAGAGAGTGTAATCGAGTTTAACAAAACTGCTTACTTTTTAAAGATTTTAATATGGCACACTGTTAATTAAAAAATTATTAAATAATGAGCTGTGAATTAAATATTTTACTTTCAAAATCATTTGGAATTGTTTTTGTAAACAATTAATTTTCCTTCATTAAAATTATAAAAAGCATCACTATTTTTAGCGGTTATTCCTGCAAAGTTGATTAATAGTCATACTCATAGTTCTATGATTTTTTTCATAATAAATAGTTTATTAATACTGCACACTAGTTTAATTAAATTTTAGGAATCCTCTTATTTAGTCAGCAATATGATTACAAGATCTTTTTTTTTTAAATCAGATGTTGAATAATCATACGTTGTGTCTCTGAAGCTTTAAATGCCTAATTCTTTGTGCCTGAATTGTAAAAGACGCCTTTCCAAAGAGATTGCTCAACATCATGCGCCATATTTCATTTTGTGTATAAACTACATGATTTTGATTTAATGGGTCAGGTACCTTTAAAATAAATTTTTTATGCTTTTATTTTATAACTTGATTTCTTCCAAGCATTTTAAAACAAACCCCTATGTAACCTAACCATGTAAAAATTTGCTCTAGAAGTAAAGTTATTGTGAAATATTTGCTTTTGCAATTTACCAATCAGACACATTTGTATTTCAGGAAATCCCTTGTGTTAAATCCTCCGAGTGAAATGCTTGTGTATATGATTTTATACAAATATATCATTACACTTGATAGGAAAGTTATCTTATAAGCATATCTATGTATATACTTACAATTTTAAGAACGTAATTTATTTGCAAGATTTCGAGATAATTTCCTTTTCAATTAAAAATTTCATAAAGACTTGATTTTGCTGCTTGTATGGATTATTTTTATGAACCGTGAAATTAGAAATTCAAGAAAATTTGAGGAATTGTATATACACTGTATTTTTTTAAATGGCTAGTTGTGTTTCTGGCATAACTTTTAAAACTATAATAAAGTTTGAAATTATTTGAAAATTTTGACTTCTCACTTTTCATTGTTTCAATAAAAATCATAATGAGTATTTATGCAATACTGTTTAAATATATAATTATGCATACTTACAGAATTTTAACTGCTAAAATATTTTTATATTTCTTAATTAATGTTAAGAAACACTTAAAGAATCTGAAGGTAATTATGGCCTTAATAGGGGTGATTTCTCTTAAATATAATTGTTCCTGCTTGCACACGTTTTTCTGAGTTTTGGTTAAAATTTTAAAACGAAGTAGCTGTGCAAACCCTATTGCATATAAAATATTCACATATTATGCTTCTCACATTTTAAGTTTAAAAATTATCTTTAATTTTATGTTAAAAACAGTTACGTGTGGAGTTTCAAAAATAAAAATTTTATTTGAAAAATCTATACAACTTGATTTTTTAAAGTAAGTCATTTAAATTGTATATTAGATTTTTAAAGAAATTATAGTTGTGATAAGACAAATAGTGATTTTTTATCCATAATAACCACAGTGCATATTAAAGTTTTATATTGGTGGCAACAAAGGTATTTAATTTTTTATTTATTTAAAGTATTTTAATATCTAGAACATAAAGTGAAAGTGAATTCAGTATCAAGAATATCGAAATAGGGACAAGAAACTTCATAATTCACTGATAATTATAAAGATATTGAGCTAATTGAAATGTATTACTTTTTGGTATATTTTGACATATTAAATATATCTGACCACTTAACCTAGTTTGACCTTTCTCATTTTGTGTAATGTGTTTCGATTTAGCATGAAAAGGCATCTTTTAAAGTTCAAATTTAATTCTGGAGGGGGAGAAATGTAGAACTTTTTATCAGTGTGCCTTTTATGATCAGATTTGTTTTGATTAACTTTGATTTAATTCTTTCCCTTGTGTTTTAAAATATAATTTTTAATTAATTAGATTGAAAATATTTAGAAAGTAGATTTAATTTGAGCTTAATTTAATGAGAGCTGTAGCAAAAATAGTTTAGTTAGCATGAATAATGCATTTCTGAAAATGTAATAAATATGTTGAATTTACAATATATAAGTGACATTCATTTGCAGGTAATCTCTCCATAAGGTTATCTTCGATATGTTAATTGTGATTTCCCATTTTATACTTAAAGTTAGAAATGTGCAGGTATTTGAATGTGATTTAATAAATCAATGTTAAGTTAGACAAGATTTTAAGAACAGAAAATTAAGTTTTCTTTTCTGCATTTCTTCTTTTAACATAATTTATTTTTATACGTAATTTTCTAAAACATATTTGTATGTGAAGATGGAATTGGGTGTGTGTATATATTATTAGATAAAATTTAAAAAGTTGTTATTGGATGAAAATTTTTTTCATAAATCTTTTGCAGAAGAAATATCTTAACTAATTTAATCTGAAAATTTAATGGAGTAAATTTTTTATCCAAAAAGAAATTGGAGAAATGACTAGTGTAACTTAGAATAACAACTATTTTTTTAATTATTAAATTATGTACCAAAAATTACTTTTGTATTTTTGATTCTTTCTATTATGTCAGATCTAATTATTTAAAAAACTAATTGTTGCCAAAAATGCCACTGTACTCTAGGTATACTTTTATATTAATAATGCTTATTTCATTCATCTTTAAGAGAAGCAGAAATTCAGGAAATTTCATATGAGTTTTTCTCAATTGCATTACTTAGTATAAGTAATGTCATTTGTAAACTTTGATGTCTTTACTAAAAATAAGGCTCTTTTCAGTATGAGAGACTTCTTGCACTATAGGATAAATTTTGCAAAATAAAAATGATGGTGAATATAAGAACATGACTTTGGTTTGAAATCATTTTCTTCTGGTCAGAGTAAATGGTTCGGCATTTAACTTAATACAGTATGTTAATGTGTGCAAAGCAAATTTTTGTTACCAATTTGTTTCTGACATATCAGGAAAAATTATAGTGGGTGTATGCTTAAGCTACCCATGGCTATTTTAATTAATGTTGTGTAGTTTATGTATATGGCAATTAATTTCCTTTATGGTTTATTTAATATTAAAAATATTTAAGGTATTCTATATATTATGAAATCTGCATCTTTTTATTCTGCAATTTCATTTGTAAAAAATATCGTGTAAGGCCCTACCAAATTTTAGAACAAAACTGTAGGGAGCTGTTATTTTTGAGTAAATATTTCATGCTTTGATTTGCAGTAGTTTTGTTTGAAATTTAATTAGTGACCTGTCTTCATGTCTATAATGTGTTTGCATATCTCTTACTCAATGCATAAATAAGTGTTGTGCCAAAATTTCCTTATTGATTCAACTATAATTTTTACTTATGTTTTAATTAGTAAATTTTGTGTGCTGATTTGGGGGCAGGGGAGATTTTATTTGCTTTAATATGAGGCTTAAATTTTTACTTTTATCTGTAGAACATGAACTATTTGTTGTTTCAATAAAAATTATGATGATTATGTATGCAAATATCTGTCCTTTGCATTTATTGTAATTCTTTAATTAATATGTTCTATATATAATTCTTAATATGTTCAATTAATTACCATTTACTACACATCTGAGAAACTTATTGATTATGAAAGTATGCCTCTTGTTTTATTACATAAATTCGACAGTGGAGTACTCAGTTGAGGGGGTGGAAGAAATCTGTATTTTTTAAGTCTCTGTTACTGGTTTTTTCAATTAATTCTGTGACTGCTAAATGTGTAATTATGTAACAGTTGTTTTTCTTTTTTTCCCCTTTAATTTATGTTTTTGTAATATCTATACATTTTATTTATTTTGCATTCAAAATTTTTAATATGTACAATATTTATCAGAAAATTGTAATCTGTCCTTGGTATATTGGTTTTGGTTGCACTTTATATTAGCACTTGTATACTCTGCAATTTATGTAAAAGTTGAGTTACATAAATTCAACAAAACATTTTAATCAAGGCAGAATTCTTCTGAATGCAATGCAAAATTTTGTATGAGAATTGAAAATCTGTAGATAATAATACTCAGCTACTATGTATATAACAGTTATTTATACATTTTTATATCTGTGAGCAGGAAAACTATTAAAGTGTAATGAAAAAAGATATATATGTATAGTAAAGAAGTTAAAATGGAGATCCAATGTAACAGTCATGTAATTAACAATACAAAAATTATGCATTAGATTGCATATTGAAATTAACAAAGATAGCCAGTGGTTGCAAAAGCAGTTACACGGAGTGCAAACTGTGTTTATGTGAATAACAGTAATACTAGAAATTGAGATATCTTGGAGAAAAATGTTGCTGTCTAGTTTCCATTTCTAATATCCAGTGCTGTCTAATTTCTTCAGAATTTGTAAAATATATAACTTTTTTTTTTAAAGAATGCATACATTGCATACTGTGTCATCTATTTATATTCTTTGAGATGTCTAAGACTATTTCAAGGATTTAACGTCAGGATGAACTGGTAAAATTTATATAAAGAGGTTACATAAACTCAAAAATGCTAATTGTAATGTTAAAAGCAGTTTTTTTTTTTTTGTGATTACAAAATATGTTAACATGTGATATGAAATTAAAAAGATTTTTTTAATAAACAAGAATGCAGTTTATTTAAATTTTTCATCAAATATCTGCAATATTCTTTGGAGCTGTGAACTTTTGTTTTGTTGTAGTTGCATTTATTACGATAGAGATTTAAATAAAAAAAAAAAAAAACAGTGCAAATTTTATGCATTTGTGCTAGCAGCTCTCTCAAATCTTCATTTGTTTTTGTTTCAGGTTGTTACTATGAAAAGTGTGATTTTTATTTAGAGATTATGTAAAGATATAATAACTTAAATTGATAAGAAAAATACTAGTCTAAAACTAAAGTTAGGCAAAACAGCAGTGTTATTTTGGCATCGATTTTAAGCAACACTCTCAGTTTTGAGGGCAATTAGACATAGGTTCATTCTATTCTGAGGAATTCTGCTTCTGAAGAAGAGGGACCTATGTCTAATCGCCATTGAAATTGATAAAGTTTCCTTAAAAATATATGCTTAAAGAAAAGTGCTGTTTTTTTCCTAACATGAATGCAAATTATGCGAAAACTATTGTATTTAAATTGTATAAAAATATATGAACTCAAATTGAGTAAAAATATAAATTGTATAAATATATATATTAACCCAAATTGTGTAAAAATATATAAATTCAAATTGAAGTATGAAGTCTAATTTTTATTTAGAGATTGTGTAAAGATATATTTGTAGAATTTGTTTATTTTAACAGTTGGAAATTCCAATTTAATGTTTTAAACTTGTGGACCTTAGAAAAATTTGGTAGGATAAATTTATATTCATTTTAGTGCACAAAAAAAAAAAAAAAAAAAAAAAAAAAAAAAAAAAATCAAGTGGAAACCAAAATTTAGACTTTAGTTTAAATTTTAAGTCAAGAGTAAGACTTAGTCATTGCTTAGGTTAAAAAAAAATATTAGTTTTTACAACTAGTATGATAAAATATTTCCCAGTATGTTTTTATTTCAATTGTTTTCCTCCTTTATTTTTTGTAATATGTAAATTATGATCCTAAACTCTATTTTTGTAAGAATTCTTTTTCCATTTATATTAAGATTGTAGTTTTGTATTTTTCTATTTAGAGCCATATAAATATAGAAAAATCAGATTCTAGTATAATTAAAGTTTAAAAATGTAATATACTTAAATTTAGTTTTAAATCAAATTTTGAAAGAAATATGACAATGTAAAATTTTAAATCAGATTTTAAAAATCCCGCCTTTTCTTCAGAAGAGGGGAGGGGGGAATTGGTTTAATTTTGTTTTAAATACCTTATATTAAAAAATATAATAGCAAAAATTGAATGTTACATTTTCCAAAGAGTCTGCTATATAATTTCTCTACCCCTCCCCCATACACAGTTTCTGGGGGTGCTAAAATTCTATCGGCATTTTAAAACTTTATTTTTTTTACTTGAATGACAAATACAGAGAGGCTAATTTAATTTAACTTGATTAAAAATACTC